GGGGAACTGGATGGTCTTTAAGGTCCCTTCCCCCCAAGCCATTTTGTGATTCCAAGCGCGGGTCCTTCCTTGTCCTGAGGGTTTTTGCGAGCAGTAACGACCCGTAGCGACCAGCTCACTGTGCCTTTCGTTCCCACTAATTTCTGTTTGTCTCTCTTAATCTTCGCATAAGATTTATGAAGATAGGAACTGACTTCCTGACTTGAATTACGAAGCTGTGTCCAGAGCCCTTTTGTGAGGAGTCTCGGCATGAAGATGAATACCGTCAGCTCACAGTAAGCTCCTGTTGTCTGCAGCTCTCTGCAGTTCTGTTACACCAGATAGAAAGTCTTCTGTATGTTTGGAATGAGTTAAGAACTCAGATCATCATTTGTGTTTTCCCTCGGGTCCTTATGATCATCTTACTTGCTTTCATAGAGATGTAGTTTACCAGTGCAAAGAGAGAAGTTGAATGTTTGTTTTTTTTTCACCAAGTCTTTTTAAAGGCAGAAAACATACAAAGGATTCTTTAGTTTTTCATTTGATAGCTCAGAGAGATGGTTGCAGCCCTTAACTAGAGTAGGCCTATTGCGATAACCAAATCTTCAAACTGGATGGTTTGGTGAAATGCTGTTTGCAGTAGCAGTAATTAAATCTTTTGAGAATATTACAAGAACAATATTTTGATAGAGTTTTATGACAAATCTCCTGTGTATTTAATGACTTTGGACAGAGCAGCTTACCTTGTTGAAGTCTATGTTTGAATTCTTACGTATATTTCTCTCTAATACAAATTTTCCTGTCTGATTCAGGGATGATGAAGATACATTTAAAATACTTATTGCTACTGATATTCATCTTGGCTATTTGGAGAAGGATCCAGTGCGTGGAAATGATACGTTTGTAACTTTTAATGAAATTCTGGACCATGCTCAAAAAAATGAAGTAAGTACTGCTTTTTGGAAAGGGATGGAGTGAGACGGTGGGAATTATGTTCCAACTTGCCAGAAGCTATACAGCTCCGTCCTGGTGCAGTCGTTAGTAATATCAAATTAAATTACTAAACTAAACTATTCATTGCAACCACTTATGTTTCTGTTTTAGTAAAAGGAATGCCTATTCCTTTGTGAGAGTGTTCTTACTAAATTATGACCCTTGTTGCATTAATGGTGTTTTCAGATGCCTGCACCTGTTCCAGTGGTATTTAGAGAGGATTCCTCACTGCAAGAGGGGAAAATAGTTGAGAAAAGTGAGAGTAATGATGCAAAGTCTTCAGATGACTCAGAAAGTAGGAAAAGAAGTTAGACACTTTGAAAGTGTTGTTTCTGCTTTTAAGGATTGAATGTTTCTTAGTCAAATTATTTGTAAGTTTGATGAATATTATTTATTTTCCCTAATACTTTTTCAGAAGCTAAATATGTACAGAAACTGCAGCTAGTACCTTCTCAAAATAACGTGGCAGTAGCTACTGACTTCTTAACACTGGGTTAAGAAGTCAGCAATGAAAAGATAATGGCTCTCTTCATGCCTGTCAAAGAACACGTTCAGGAGACAATCTGGAGACCCTTCTTAAAACACTTCCCTGATATTGTTTTCCAACATTATCAGTTGCTTTCTCCTATATCTCTTAATAAATGGGTCTTTTTGGGTTTGGTTTTGTTTTAATGAATAATTTAGTTAATGTTTATTTCATGAGGAAATTAAATACTGTGTCTGCAACTACCAACTTACTTTACCTAGAGGTCCAGATAGGAGGAGGTATGTGGAACTCCTCAGAAGAAATAATTTAAACAATTTGCTTAGAAGTCTTTCCAAGTAATACAGAATGTTGTATTAAAATAATAGAGCTTTTTTTTACATACAGGTGGACTTTGTTTTATTAGGTGGGGACCTTTTTCATGAAAACAAACCTTCCAGAAAAACAATACACTCTTGTCTGGAGTCACTAAGAAAATACTGCATGGGTGATCGTCCTGTTCAGTTTGAAATTTTGAGTGATCAGGCAGTTAATTTCCATTGTAGCAAGTAAGTGTGTTCCTGTAAGTTGTGGTGTAAGGTTTGGTTTATGTATTGGATGAACGTGTTGTGATTTTCATGATTTATATCCCCTGTGACTTGAAGTTTTAGACGTGTTTGTGTGGGACAGTTTACAGATGACTTCACTTACCATCTTTTATAATATAAATGAATGCACACAGTTTTGGAGAAACTTCTGAATCTGTTGTGACATTTGATACATTTTTGTAATCTGTAGTTTCTATCCTGTAAGTACAATGCAAGTAAACCAAATTACCTGAATTGCTGTGGCAAAAGCAGCAGTTTTCTTTGTGTGTAAACAAAGGTTACGCAGCCCCGTCCGCTGCTCTCGCACGTACCACACAACATGTTGTACGGTTCTTTTCATAGACTTGCTCTAAAAACACGGGATCTTTTTGCTGCCCTCTTCCCACTGGGAAGTGCCATCCCACTCCATGAGAAAGAATCTTCTGACACTGTGCATCTTAAGCTTATTCATAGCCACTTAGTGCTCGTGTCTGCTGCTGTCATGATGTGTTTGTGGTGACATTAATTTGAAGAGAATATTGGGAACTGTCCGCAAATTTGCAGATGTAGCTTAACTCTTTTTTTTCCTCTCCTTGTTCAGGTTTCCATGGGTGAATTATCAGGATGGAAATCTCAACATTTCTATTCCAGTTTTCAGTATTCATGGCAATCATGATGATCCCACAGGGGTAATTATTATCATAATTGTACTAAACTGTTATATTACCAAAATAATATTATAGAAATAGAGACTTGAATAGAAATAAAAGTTCGTGGAGAACAGGTTAGTTTTAGTCAGTTGCTCCACTCTTCACGTAAATATTTTGTGTGTCTTTAGGAATTCTCTTAATTACTGACAAGTTAAATGTGACATTAAAAAAGAGAGTGGAAAGAAGTTAAGGAATCCATATGAACTATGCTTAAGTTCCTAATTTACATAGATTTCTGTCACTGAGAACAGAATCCCTTTTCATGCTCAGAAGTGTCAGCCTTTCAGAAAGTTTTGAAAATAAGTTCTGTCTGTAGAGACTGAAGAAGGGAAATTTTGATACTTTAACTTGTACCTATGCAACTGATATGCATTTATGTTTTCAAGGAAGATAATCTAGTAGTGATGCCATGCTAGTTTAAAAATCAACAACTAAAAGGAAGCAGGAAAAGAACGTTAGAAAGCAGCAAAGCACGTGTGTTGAATTAATAGTTTTGCATTTTATATCAAATAGCAGTGTATCATGGAGATGGGTGTTTCACAACAGAAGGTTAACTTGAGACCTACTGTGAAGTAGTTAGCTTAACCAGATGATTTTCTGTAGTAGTTTAGAGACTTTGGCTGTTTGGGAAGGTTTTGTTTTTCTGAATGATTGGTTTCATTTCATATTGTTCAAATGAAGCAAGACTTGTAAAGAAAATGAATTTTCTTCTGTGCCTGTGAGTACTAAAAAAATATATGTGTCAGGGTTTTTCAGCTGCAGAAGTTACTTAAGGAAACTCCTTTTTGAGATAGTTTCACTTAGACTTAAAAGACTAAATGTTCTGTTCAAAGTTTTTATATTTGTTTCTTATTATTTTCTACAGGCAGATGCACTTTGTGCGTTGGATATTTTAAGCTGTGCAGGATTGTTGAATCACTTTGGACGTTCAACTTCTGTCGAGAAAATAGATATTAGTCCCATTTTATTGCGCAAGGGAAGAACAAAAATTGCTCTGTATGGCTTGGGTAAGCATTAGTCTGCCAGGCTGTGGTTAGACTGTTCGTGTGTTACTGAAGTGCAACAGGTCTAATTAAGTTGAAACAAATATATAATGCTGCAACAACTGTGAAGATCTAAGTAGTGCTAAATTAAAGTATATCATTTCTGTATCAGGGTCAGGTTTCTCTTCCTATGTTGTCACCAGCTGACAGATTTTTAATTTTTCTTTATTTTATAATAAATCCTTCTGTAACTATTTCTATACTTTTATTGGTCTTAAATGAACCCTACTGAAATTAGCCATAGATAGTGCCTGCGCATCAAGTCAGGGCAATCACAGTCTTTCTGTCTAGAGAAGTTAATTATTAAGATCTTAAATTTTTCCCATTATTTTATATCCAGTCATGAGTGCTTAAACACTTTTATTTCCAAGCAACTTTTATAGCTATAAGTCCTAGTTGATCATGATTTCATGTCTTTAATGAGATGCTTTAAATGCTTGCTAGATGTTCTGGGTTAGTAGTCAGGATTCTAATACCACAATGTACAAGTTTTCAAAAAGCATTTGAATTTTTAATACCCAAAATCATTACTGGGAAATGCAACAGCTTTCTAAAGTACAGGTGTTGCTGCATTAAAACGCTCAGGAGAGATTTCTTCGAGCTTGTGCCAGGATTATATACTCTCTTGACTTTCTCTGATTTAGGGAACACTTGTTCTTATGCAAAATATGTAAAATTCATGTGGGATTTTATTGAAATGCATCATGAACCCTGGATATATGGATGGTTTGGGGCTTTTTTCCATGTTAAAAACATCAGGGAAATAATCAGTGACAAACAGCTGAGAAGTACTGCAAACTTTTTCCTGTTATGTGGGAAAGCACAGACTTTGCAGAATTCATGGTTTGTTGCTTGTTTTGTAGAGAATTTCAAATTATGTTTAAGAACTCCATCTCGACTCAGTAGTATCTGTTCTTAGATGCCACATTACAATAAAATATATTTCTTATTCTGTCAACAAGAAACAGAACACCTCTTCTCATATTTTAAATTCTGCCAATAGTCAGTTATTTGTCACAGAAAACCAGCAAGAGGTCTCAAACCAGATGTAGTTAATGAAACTGCTTTTAGTAGTTCTTTAGTGGCAGATTTCATGTTAAATGCTATAAAATCAAGAGTTGCTTTACCACACAGAAATGATCTAATGTTTTGTTTTATCCACTCCAGGAGCTATTCCAGATGAGAGGCTGTATCGTATGTTTGTCAATAAACAAGTAACCATGCTAAGACCAAAGGAAGATGAAGATAGTTGGTTTAACTTGTTTGTGGTTCATCAAAACAGGTGAGAGTATGGAATGAATTATGGTGACTTTTAAATTTACTGTGTTACTTCATTAAACTGCCTTGGAAAGGATCGGTGCCAAAGCCAGCTGTGCTACTTGGTGCTTCTTGTGAGTAGTTGGTTTCTTAAGATTTTCCCAAATGAAAGCCTTGTTTTACAGCTCTTCTTACAGAAGAATCATAAAGGAAAACTGTTTAAATCAGTGAGTTAGGAATGTTGGGAACTCTCTTCCCAAACCCTTATCTTCAGGGGTAGTGGAGGGTTTGTAGTGGAATATGCATACAATTAAGTCTTCTCTGCTTGTTAAAGCTGAAAGCATTAAACTTCGTATTGTATTTGAACCCTAATTTGACAAGTACCACATCTTCACTTGCACTGCTATACTTTAGTTTCTCTTGGGTAGAGGATAGGTAGCATGTGTTCTTTCTGCCTACACACTTCTCCCAGCAGTGGTAGTAGGAATGGGCAGAGTTCTTTTCAAAATCCTTTTTAATAATTCTTCTTGAATAAGAGTGCAATCCTCATGTGCAGAAGTAAACAAATTCAGCTCTGATAACCTTGTGTACTGATCTCTGTCCAGCAGACTGAAGGAGCTCACTCCTTCTCTAGCTCCTCTGTCTTCTGGAAAGGGATAGGGGGTTATGTGTCCAATGTCTGTTTAATTCAATGGTTTTTTACCCCATCATTAAAACAAACAAACAAACAAAAAAAAACCCCACCCAACCAAAAAACACCCAAAAAGCCATGAGGTGCTATAAAAGCATTCATATGGAAAAAAACCAACTAAAGTCTTGCAAGCCAAGCAAAAAGAAAAGGGAGATACAAATAAAAGGAGAGGAGCATAAAAAAATGAGCTGTGTAAGTTGCCTTTTTATAACCAAACACTTTAAACAATTGCCTAAGGAGTAAATGTGAAGGGTACCTGATATGAAGTTACATCAGATATTTTTACTGGAGTTTCTGTATCACTTTATCACAGTGATATTTTCCTCCTCTTTCACTCCACCCATGACTTTACACATTCTAATTATTGTTTTCTTTTCTTGAACAGGAGCAAACATGGAGCTACCAACTACATTCCAGAGCAGTTTTTAGATGACTTTATTAATCTTGTTGTGTGGGGTCATGAACATGAGTGCAAAATAGCTCCATCCCAAAATGAACAGCAACGCTTCTATGTTTCTCAGCCAGGAAGTTCAGTGGTGACATCTCTGTCCCCTGGAGAAGCTGTGAAGAAGTGTGTGATCTTTTCTTTTTGTTCTTGTTTATCCCTTGCATTATGTCTCTCGTGTGTTGTGTTGAGAAAGGAAAAATATTTCTATTAAGTATGAAAGGACTTGTGTTATAGTGTGGATTGGCTTCTGAGTGTGACATAACAAATTAAGTAGATGGAACCACTGCCTAGAATAACTTTTGCTTTCCTTAGGATTCAACCTAACATTTGAAGTAAATGGGCCTTACCTAAGAGGAGTTACACCCTGATAAACTGGAACACAAGGAGCTGTGTACATGTGCTTGTGTATGGAACAAGCACAATCTAAATAGAATAGAACTGAAGTTTGGCAAGGGCAGCCCTGAAGTACAGATCCAGAAACTTCCTATAGCTTTTAAACTCTTGTCCCTAAAAAGTAAACAAGAATTTTAAACAAATCTTTATATCATAATTAACTTTTAACTATATCTTCTAGTAAGTTACTTTTCTCTTTCTAGACACATTGGTTTGCTGCATGTTAGAGGGAAAAAAATGAATATGCAGAAGATTGCTCTAGAGACAGTGCGAACTTTCCACATGGAGGATGTTGTTCTAGCTGATCATCCAGATCTTTTTAATCCTGACAATCCTAAAGTAACTCAGGCAATACAAGCATTCTGCATGGAAAAGGTAACTTGTAATGCTGACAGTATGTGGGTAACAGTGTATGGACAGGAAATGGGATCTCTGACTGGTTTTGAGGCTGGAAGATGAGAAATCTTGTGTCTTGCCTCATATTATCTGAGACAGACTTAGGCAGTGTTAGGAAGCTAGTTCCATGACATTCACCACAGCCTTGGCTTGCAGATCCCTTGACTGGGGTGACCTGTTAAAGCAGACTGGAACTGCTTTGTGTGTCATCTTTGTCCAAAAACTCCCACTTGACAGTGTTGGATGTGCACTTTGGAACAGCACAAACACGTGCACCTAAAGCCTGAGAGCCCGGGCTGTGCGGTGTGAAGTGGCAGAAGTAAGCGGGTTTACCAGTTGCTCTTGGTTCTTAGGTCTGTACAAGTCTCTTGCCGCTTTTCCCTGGAACTAGAAGTTTAGCAAAGGATAATGACTATAAAGTAAAATAGTGTAAGTGGTCAGTGATGTAGGTACTGCTGGACTACGCTATATCTGAAAGATGAGCCTTTCATTGTGACTCTTTTCTCATTCATTCTTATGGCTTTTGTCTGGGCACTGGTACATATGTGTGTTTAGAAATCTTATCGTTACTTATTTTTATAGCTTCCCCCTGCAGCTGGATGTATTTTAAGTCAAACTTGAAGGGTTCAGGGTTCTTTAAAAGAACAAAGTGGAACTGAATTTCTAATTCTGCTTCACAGGTTGAATTGATGCTGGACAACGCAGAAAGAGAACGCTTGGGAAATCCACGCCAGCCAGAGAAGCCTCTCATAAGATTACGAGTAAGAAATTGTTCACTTGGGATTGCTTTGTTTTGAAAGGTCGCTGTGAAAAGTTTCAATGCAAAGTCATGCTTTTTGTGTAAACATATAATATATAAAATTTCTTACTGTGCACAGGTAAATATAAGTTGCCTTCATACCATGATTCTGTTTACCTGTGGTGTAACTAGTATTCTATGGTAAAGGATGAGACTGATCCTAAGGGTACTTCACTGCTGGTCTGAGTAAGGACATCAAAAGTGGCTATTTACAGAGAAGTTTTTCTGAAATCATATTATCCTGTGTTTGTTCCTAACCTAATTTATGGAAACTTTCATGAAGATTAGTAAATTAAATGTTAGGAACAAGTTATGAATCTGGGCTGTTATTAGCTATTCTGTTAATATTATTATTAGCTATTATTATCCATTGAGTATTCTGCATAGTACAGTAAACCATTAATTTTAGGTTGGATTATTTTTTATATCAGTTTTTCCTTTGAAGTGTAACAAACTCATCTGGATTTGTGTGACGTGTCTATTTCTGTTTGTTTCGTATTTACATTTTTCCTTTCCTCTCTTAGGTTGATTATACAGGTGGCTTCGAACCATTCAGTGTCCATCGTTTCAGCCAGAAGTACATGGACAGGGTGGCAAACCCAAAAGACATCATACACTTTTTCAGGCATCGGGAACAAAAAGAGAAAAGTGGTAATTATAAAGAAAGGAATTTTTGACTTGCCTTGATTTTAATTCTTCTTCCTTTACTTTTGTTGCTCAGTATTTGCAAAGGCTTGGTGTCTGCCATCTAATGTGTTACAGGAGGAGTAAAGATGGTATAGTCTCATTTAAGTGTATATATTGTACAGGTATTTCTGTTCTGTTTCTAGGTGTGTCTAAAATTCTGATATTCAGCACAGCATCTTCTGACAGTTATTCATAAATAATTCCTTCTTCTTTGGCCTCAAACCTGAGAGAGTTGCTCGCAGTAATACATATAGCCCCGTTCCAGGCTGAGGTACTCCATGATTCTGTGATAGTTACCACGAAAGGCATTAAACTCCTGAGACTCCTCAGAATGAGGTGGTTGGTTTTGGGCACTCTGCAGGAAAAGAGATGGATGTTGTGCTTTTTCCCTTTGTTTTTTTAATGTTATTGCTGCAGTAATTAATTTGTTTATACCTAAAATATTAATGGAGAGGATGGGCTTGAGAGATGCTTGTATATTTAAAAGGAAAAAAAGAAAAAGGTCCAAATGTACAACAGCATTTTTTTTTGCCCTAATTAATCATGTGTATGAGGTGCTCTTGGCTTGTCTGTTCCAGGTATATCTCTATTCAAGCATTTGTGCAAAACAAATAATAGGTGTTAGTATTATGGCATTTCTCAATGTGCCTAGAATTTTAAATAAATGGTTAATAGATGTTGACCAAATACTGGATTTGTAATAGTTGCTGAAGAAGATACAGCTTGCACAAGAACATACTGTGCTAAAGAACTGTTAATATTTCACATTAGTGCATTGTAAGTACTCCAATTCCATTGACAGTTTTTACTTACACTGTCAATTTTTTAAAGTTCAGAACATATTTCATGAATAAAAACTGCTTTTAGTGATTTTTTAATTACCCTGTATTGATCTTGTTTTGTTTTGCTTTGTTGTTTTTTTTTTAATAGTTGTGTAACCTCATTTTCACATAACATTTTCAGAATACAAGACAGCTACTCAACATCTGTCACTGTGTGTCATCAATACATTTTAATTTTCCTACTTCATGTGCATCTCAGCTTCAGGAAGGGAATGTAGAAAGAATACCATGGCTCTTTGCACTGCTTCATTAGATAGCCTCTCATACAAGGGAGGTGGCTAATAAAGCAGTCAAACTTTTCAGTACATGTGCCTGTAACGGTCTGGGGTCAGTACAGGTGATGTTCAGACTTCATGAGTTCAGAAGTTGGTATTGGGTTTTTTTTGCCATGGCTGCTGCCATAACAAAGGTAACAAACCAGAGCTTTGTGCTCACCTGTGGCAGGTGTCTGGACACAGTCTGTAGTCACTTTCTGTTACTGTCTGTGATGTGTGGCAATCTCGGTTGATTATCCCTTCCATTCTTCTGTCGTTCCTACCTTGCTTCCCAAGAACTGGGGGCAGCCTTAATGAGCAAAGAACATGAGGTGCTGGAGCACGTCCACAGAAGGGCAATGAAGCTGGTGAAGGGGCTGGAGAACAAGTCCTATGAGGAGCAGCTGAGAGAACTGGGGTTGTTTAGTCTGGAGAAAAGGAGGCTGAGGGGAGACCTTCTCACTCTCTACAGCTACCTGAAGGGAGGGTGTAGAGAGGTGGGGGTTGGTCTCTTCTCCCTGGTAACAAGCAATAGAATGAGAGGAAATGGCCTCAAGTTGCACCAGGGCAGGTTTAGATTGGATATGAGGAAAAACTTTACTGAAAGAGTGGTCAAGCATTGGAACAGGCTGCCCAGGAAGGTGGTGGAGTCACCTTCCCTGGAGGTATTTAAGAGATGGGTAGATGAGGTGCTCAGAGACATGGTTTAGAGGTGGAATTGGCAGTGTTAGGTTCATGGTTAGACTCAATGGGTCTTAAGGGTCTTTTCCAACCACTACAATTTTGTAATTCTCTGATTTTTCTACTGAAAATCAGTCAGTGTGCTTTGGAGGTAAATTTCTTCTCTAGTCAGGGTGTTACTTAAAAAACCTTTGTGGTTTGATGAATTCTTTGATTTTCTTCTCTTTGTGATCCTCTAGAGTTCAATTATAATAACCTTCAGGACATAGCGTTCAGTTTGTAATTCCAGGCATCTGGTAGTTAGAACACTTTGTATCTGCTAGAGGTGGGATTGTCCTGTACAGTTATTGCACCCTTTATGTTTACCTGTGTTTCCAGACAATAGACTTTACAGTTAGAACAAAAAAACCTTTACATATAAAAGGGACCACAGTTCTTTAAAGGCCTATATTAACCTTTTTTCCTATTCCTGGTAGTGGGTTGATATTAATTAAAAGCTGCAAACATGGATGACAGTGCCACTGTGCTTTTCTATTCTAGATAGTGATCTGAATTTTGGAAAACTGGTTAGCAGGCCTGCTTCTGAGGGGACGACACTGAGGGTGGAAGACCTTGTAAAGCAGTATTTTCAGACAGCAGAGAAGGTATCTTTCTACCTTTCATGATTTTTTTTTTTTTTTTAATGCAATACAATATTTTTACCTTTTTTTTCCTTTCTTAATGGAAGTAGTGTGCCCTGAGAAGACTGACATTCACCAAGAAGTGAATTTATTTCCTGTATGACTGTATGTGAATGCCTGTATAAAGTATATGTCTTAGGCTAACGAGCAACTCTTCTATATAGGTTGTATAGGGTATGTGAACATATGCTGGTTTGAGAACATTATGACAACTCTTCATGTGAACTTCCAGTGTCTGCCCTGTACTAAATGATGTGTCATGTTCTTACAGGAGGAAAATGCAAGGCAGCGTGCTCTGAGTGAGAAGCTACCTTAATTTGTTATAGGGTCAGTGTGATACTGTGCAATTTACCAGCTGACTTGGAGTAATTTGTTACTTTGCAGTATATTTGTGTCCTCAGACATAGTGCAATTCCACATTGTACTTAAAACAGAGCAGGGAGAAAGAAGAGAGCTCGACAAGAGCTTGCCTTCTCTCCACCCTTTCATTAAACCTGATTTGTTTCCCTTTCCCAACACCAAGGCAGTAACGTCTCAGAGGTAAAAAATAATGAGTCAGACACCCAAATGCTTGATCTAGATGATCAAGCAGATCTTTCAGAAGCTACTTCAGAACATGCTTTATAGCAAGCCATTAGAGCGAGGGTTCCTGAGGTAAAGATCCCCCAAATTATACCATCTTGCCTAACCTTAAACACATGTTAAGGTGTCAGTATTAGGATGGCATAAATCATGCCCTGGAAGGGCTATTTGCCTTCTGAATATGGTAAGGAACCCAGGGTGACTAATTCAGAAGTAGGTGCTTCTTCAAATGTATGCCACCCCTAAATCCCATGGGGAAGGGTGGCAGTGTCAAAGACGGAGTACTTTATTATTCTATGAAAAATAAATTTTGCTTTTAATCTCTCTTCTTCCCTTATTCTGCAAAATTGTCCCCGTTACACCGTCTTCCCAACTTGTGTGTTCTTGTGTAATCGGTGAAGGGCTTAGAGGGGAAGCCATATGAGGAGAGGCTGAGGTCACTTGGATTGTTCAGCCTGGAGGAGACTGAGAGGAGATCTCATCGCAGTCTAGAACTTCCTCACAAGGGGAAGAGGGGGGTCAGGTGCTGATCTCTTCTCTCTGGTGACCAACGATAGGACCAGGGGAAATGGCAGGAAGATGTGCCAGAGCAAGTTTAGGTTGGACATTAGGAAAATGTTCTTCACCCAGAGGGTGGTGGAGCACTGGAACAGGCTCCCCAGGGAGGTGGTCATGGCACCAAGCCTGACAACATTCAAGAAGCATTTGGGCAACACCCTCAGACACATGGTGTGAATCTTGTGACTGTCCTATGCTGGGACAAGAACCAGATTCGATGGTCCTTGTGGGTCCCTTCCAACTCACAACGTTCTGTGAAACAGTTCAGTTTCTGGTCCCTGCATTTGAGGCCTGCTTGTGCAGCTCAGCATCTGAAAAGACATGAAAGAATCTGTTAATGCTCTGGGAAGGCTTGCACTTGGGCGATAATATGTTTTAAGTTAACACTGGGAATGAAAGAAAGAGGGGGAAGAAAGCATATTGTGCCCCAAAATGATGATAGGGATCTTAAAAATTATGTTAAGATGGCTTGTGCTTCAGGCTTTGCTAGACACCTGATCTTGTCTGATGAGGGAAACAAAAGAGTCCTTGGACCCTGAGCTGGTACTGGGCTGTAGTTGGGTGTTCAAAAAATGTTATACCAAAAACGCCTAACAAGTACCCGACTCAGTTCAGTTCCAGTGTTGCTGGTAAGCTGAGGCCTTGGAATGAAAATCACTGCTGTTCTTCTCTTCAGCAAGCTTTTTATTATTTCTCCTTTGTAAGAAAGCTTAATTACCGAGAGTCAACATGAACATTCTGCATTATTACAATCAGTTACTCTTTTGAGATTCTTATTTTTTGTAAACTTCTTATTTTATAATATTTTTATAATATTTATAATTTTTATAATATTTATAATAGGAGCCGGGTTTTAATAATATTTTATGATAAAAACTTAATTTCTAATAGGAATAATTTATTCCTCTGCACAGCAGTATTTTAGGGAAGGTTTTATGCTTCTGATGCAACCCTCAAAACTGTTCCTAAAGGATATCTGGAAGGATCAGAAATCATTTATAAGCATAATTACTAAGAAATTACCTGTACTGTAGTTCACAGGCAAAAGAGGCGGCTGTTTAGACATTACTGTCCACGTGGGAATTTCATTCTCAGAATGTCTGTTCTTCCCATACTGGATCCCAGTGCTGTGCTGTATTGGGAAGGAGGGTAGAGAAGATAAAAACCACCAGTAGCATCTACTGCTTTTACTAAGTAGTGTCTGTAAATACGAATATACATGTATATAAATACATTATGTAGTATATAAATACATTATGTAGTATATAAATACATTAATATCTTAATGTAGAATGTCTTGATGAATATCATCTCACTTGATGAACATGTGAGAACGGTTGGTATTCACAGAATTGCATTTCAGTAATTTAATTGGTATTTACACAATCACAGTTCTGCTAAACACCTCTTAATGCTTCATAATAGTAATTCACTGCTCTGTAACTGCCACTTTTTAATGTTAGAATTTTACAGTAAAACTAAGTAATATGGCATCTGTAATAATTCAGATCTTGTTTTTAATAACATTTTTATGTCTTTACAAGTTGATCTTAACTTAGTTTAAAAAAGGAGGGGAGCTAGGAAAGAATGCAGTTTACCTTCTCTCAGCAATACATTTCAGACAAATTATTTTAGATATGACTAGCACTGTAGTTTCTTTACTGTTTATGAAACTTTTTTCTTTGACAAGTCTGGAAAATACTGTGTTAAGTAGGTGTAATATGCTCGTAGCAAGAGGGTTGTAACTATTATTAGAAGTAACGTGTTTGCTTATTGCTGTGCTTTTCTTTGATTAAAATCTTCAATGCATGTTACTGGTTTTGGAACCAACTTAATGTAATATTTATCTGAAACAGTAGGAACATTACTCACTTTCTTTGATGGCAGATGCTTCTTAACAAAACGTTTTCCCCAATTATAAAGAAAGTACAGCTTTCACTTCTAACTGAAAGAGGAATGGGAGAAGCAGTGCAGGAGTTTGTGGATAAAGAGGAAAAAGATGCCATAGAAGAGCTGGTGAAATTTCAACTAGAAAAAACACAGAGGTTTCTTAAGGAGCGTCGCACTGATGCAGAGGAAGAAAAAATAGACGAGGAGGTAATATTCTGTTAATGTTAATTCCTTAGGAGAGGTCAAGACAGATGGTAGGAAAAAAGAGTGCTCAAACCTGGTTTAATAGATTTGCCTGCGTGTGGAGCATGTTAAACACTTGCTTCTAGTCATTTTCTAGAGTTAATAAATATGACAATGAAGTTTCAAATCCATAGGTTAGCAACTTATGTTAAAAATGGGATTTATGTGTGCAGCTCTGCACCTCCCAGAGACAAACCTGGTTGATGTGTATCAAGTAACCCATAATACACTTCTCTGTCAACTTGTTGAGCCTCCACACGAGCCCAGGTATCTGGTTGTAATATTCAAGCATTGTATGACAAGTTAACTGTGCATTGGGTAAAGAATAATTGGTGGGGGGAGGATGGTTGCACCTACCTGTTTTCTTGCTGATTAATTCATAAGAGGTTGAAAGAGACTATAAACAATCAGTACCTGTAGGCTTTCTGTGCCACTTGGGGAATTTTTTTTTGTCTTTTGAATTAGTATCTTCTTTCCCTCTCACCCATCAGATCTTTTTCCATACTTGACAAGTTGAGCTTTCTTAGTCGTACGTGCGTTGCAACATTTCTCTCTTCTCAATACCATTGTTTCCTATCTTGCTTCTTCATCTCTATCCCTTCATTTCCAGTTATTCATATTTCACTGTCCCTTACTGTCACCTTACGTACAGTCTCCTTCTCTTGAGCATAGTACCTCCTACTGTTCAAGCTTTTCCCTCTCCAGTGATGTAGCTCCAGTTATTAATAGAATGTGAGATCCTTAAACTGTAGGACAGCATGAAAAGGCTCTACACAAACTGTTCACTTATTCTTGCACTCTTCTTCACTTCTCACATGAGCTTGACTTAATAATTCAGTGATCAAGACTTCTCACTTACTGTGTGTTTAATATTATATGAAATTAACTGTTATTTTTATGAGAACTCTTTTGGTTTTTAATTCAGGTGCGAAAATTCAGGGAGAGCAGAAAAAAGAATACTGAAGAAGAGGACGAGGAAGTTCGTGAGGTAACTCTTGAGTTTTGAATATAGGCTGAAGGGTGGAATAGTGACTTCTGCATATGAATAAAGTCACTTAGCAATACTTCAACATTGTCCTTGCTTGGGGAAGCCTGTCTGTCTAGGGAGGATTTTTTAAATCTTCCTGTAAGTCTTTTTTAAATCTTCCTTGGTATAATATGTGCCTAAGCTACTGCTTGATTTGGCTTTTGAGATCTCTTTTCTTGTGCAAATTTGTGAACCTGAATATTCCATTGCTCTTATTTTGCATAGAGGTTAGACCAGGCAAGTGGCCTTCAGAGGTCTGTCAGCTTAAACTGTTTTTGATCCCGTGACCAGTGGACAACATGTGGATGGGCTGTTCTGGGTGACATTATTGGAACAAATTTGTATTATTAGTAAAACTTTAGGTACTATTGTCCTCATCAGCGATCTTAGATCTTAGAGTCTTAGATCTCCCAGAGGTTTATATCTGGATTACATATGTCTTTCCAAAGAGAATTGCCAACCACTAACAGCATTGGTGCTCCTTTGTCTTTGGACTGGAATGAAATTTTGAGAAAAAGGACACCTGGAGTAGGATTCAGTTCTCCTAATCTGAGATATCTTCACATGAAGTAGTTGTCTTAAGCACTCATTGTCATCAGTGAAGATCAAGTCAGTGGAGCCCAGAGAGTGGTTCCTCTGAGCAGATGTGCATAGCTGCCATAGGATGACCTGGACTGTTCACCAAGCTCCACTGACTGTATCATATTAACTTGTTCCATTCTGTCATCAGAGCCTAGCTAACTAATTTGTATGTATACATCTAAATTGAACAGACTAAATACTGTCCCTGCTTTTTGGCAGACTTCCTTGCCTTCCAGTGCTGTGGATGTGGGTCTTCTAAGCCTCAGTGGTTTAGAACTATATATCACAATTAGTATTGAACAGTGGTGCATTTCATCATTTAAGATTCTTTTTCCTAATGCACTATTGTTTCATTTCAGGCAATGACCAGGGCTAGAGCCCACAGATCTGATGATGCAGTTCTGGTCGCAGCCTCCAGTGATGAAGAACTTATGGATACGGGGATGAAAAGCACTGGTGATTCAGATGATGGCCTTCCTGCAACACTGAGCCGAGGAAGGGGCCGGGCAAGAGGTAGGGCAAGAGGTGCAAGAGGACAAAATTCAACAGCAAGAGGTTCATCTCGAAGGGGAAGAGGTAAGAAAAACTTCACATTTTTTGTACTGTAGTTACTGACTTTTTTTTCTTTAAAAGGCAACTCTCTTCTGATGCTTTCATCAAGTGGAAATTTGTTGCTTAAGGAATCCTACTGGAAAAAAAATCCTTCACAAATATTTTTGGTATCATGTTACATCCATTTGACTGCCCCACAGGGCTTAAGTTGTCACCTTTTTACAGGGTGATTAAAAGAGAAATATCTTGCTTCCCAGCTGTGGAAACATAGTAGACTCTTAAAGGATGCATTATGGGGAAGGTCTGTGCAATGCAGTGCATGGATAAACCTTTGTTACTGCTGAAGGTAATGCATTAGATCAACATGGAGAGGAGGTACAGATTGCCTCTGTCCTAATGCTGTTTACAACAGACTTCATTGAAAACTATGTTTTCAAGTGACTGAAAAAATGGGGAGTGCTTCCTAAGCCAAATGAATTAAATAGCTCCCTGGCGATGTACGATTGTGCACTTGACAGTGATGGCTGTACTTCCATTATGTATAAATATATATATATAAGTAAAAAAAGAAAAAATGGAGTCTTGCAGTAACATGCTCCTTTGAGTTGTCTCGGTTAATATGCCCAAAGGTGTAAGAGCAGGATGAGTTGAAACAAAGGCAGTCATCTTGGGACTGATTTGGTCAGTGCCTTTAAACTAGTTTTATGAGCATGTGCACCAGCGCTGTTGTGATCCCATCAGAGCAGGGGCGTGTGTGTTGAGGCTGTGTCTGTGGAGCTTTGAGCACTTGACCCAGAGCAGTTCTGTGTGCAAGGGCTTTGATTCAAGGAAGAGAGTGTAGCAGTAAAGAGGAATGTAACTTTTTAAGAGACTTCCCACTCAGTAATGATAAACTAAAGAGAAAAAAACCCAACAAGACACTGAACAGATTTGCATATTGTTTATTATCCCTACAGGAAGCTCTAGCCAAGAGTCAGCTACCAGCAGCAGAACCTACAAGCCTGTATCTGTGCCTGCCAAGAATATGTCTATCGTGGATGGTAGGCCTTCGATCTGTCCATTACTCTAAGCTGCTCTCTCAAATTGTAATGAAGGTGTTTACCAGTATTATTCAATATATTCATCAATGA